AAGTAGATTCCACTAACAAAACTTCAGTGGATTCCGCGTAAAAATACCTGTAATGTAAATTTTGTCGAAACATTTGTTTTGTTGCGGATTCCGCAACAAGCAAATATAGCTAGTTGTTCTGAATTCCGCAACTGTAAGTGGATTCGGCAAAATCAAGCGGATACCAATTACAAATTGCGGATTACACTTACAAATTGCGGATTCCACTTACAATTTGCGGATTCCGCAACAGCTCAATGTAACTATACACATATCTTGTTATTTGTTTGTGGATTCCACAAATTGTTCTGGGTTTCGCAAATACAGTTGCGGATTCCAGATTCCGTAAATTGGCCTATTTTTGGAGCGATTTTCAGCGGTACAAAATTTTAAGTATTCGTTTGTCGAATCCAAAACAGCAAAAGAAAAGTAGCAATGTTGCGGATTCCGCAACAAATCTGATTTTGGCCTGTTGCGGAATCAGTTTACAATGCACAGAATGCACAGTTTGGCCTCGTAATGTTAAGTTTTGCTCCAAGCACGATTGAAAGAGCTTCATCTTGAAATATCACTCGAAACAGTCCGATGATTATTTCTGGTACTTTATTTTTCTTGGAAAACAAAAAAAGAAAAAACTAAAACACACCCAAATACAAAGTCATCCTCATTTTCAATAGTTAGAACACAGAGTCTAAATTGAACGAATTGCCACTTTTGAGCTATGACTGGATGTTTTTTCTTATTGAAGCTTGAACTAAAGAATTAAAAAATCTAAAATAGCTCCTTTAAAAACTTTTCTCTAGTTCTTAAAGATGTCTGGCAAAGTCAAACTAAGTCTAAGACGTATATCATTTGGCTGAAAAAGATGAAAAAAAATCATAGCCAAGCACCTCAACCCCCTGATGGTCCATTCTTAATGTTAGATTTTGAGTCTAAAATATCAGCTATTGTTCAATATTGGTGCAATTCTGAAACCATAGGTCTTTTTTAAAATTTAAAAGTTGCAATAACATTTGATGACATTTTTTAGCCGCTTTGTGGCACACAAACTCGATCGCGAGTTTGAATGGAAGGGCGAGAAATGATTTCGACGGTAGGATTGTGTCGGTTGGTGGCATTAAAACAGTTTGTTTTGTGAATTTATTTCTTTATTTGTTTTTTTTGTAAAAGCTGATGATTTTTCTTCTGGCAGATTTTGACCTACAGCAGTAAATATTATCGTCACTTTGTATAGATGGATAGATTTAATCTGAAGCCTAAATTTCTCATAATTGGTGAGTGTGAAAAGTTCACCTGGCTTTTTTTTAATGCCGCAACTTTTTTCACTTTGTCCAATTCCAGCAGTTCTACTGCAGTTTCCGACACCCCCTATAAACAACCATTTTTGAGTGTAATCCTTGATTTTACGAATTTCAATAATATGATCATATGGATCATATGGATAATATGATTAATTAGACATTGTACCACATTAAAATACCCCCTACCTTTAAAGCTGTTTCGACAAAAATAAAAAGAGTGTGGTAATTTGTTGAAACAACTTTTTATAATATTTTGCTGCCTCCAACAATCATTTGATTATTTATGAGTTATTTTTTATTTTGTAACTGTTTCAGTTTTATTAATTTCGTCACAGAGGGCAGAATGTGTCGTGAGTTGTGGTAAGAAATGGTTTTTTCCCAATAAGGTACCAACTATAAAATTGAAAAAAAAA